GCTGCACGTATGGCTGGGAGGGCATGTTTGCGTTTCATTTGAACAGATATGATTAGCTGTTCTCAGAGCTCGTCTGCAGTAACACTGAAAATGTGTCATGCACTATTACCCAAGCAAATGTAATGCCCCCAAAATAAACATGCCCCACTAGTTTGCAGGCAGTAATTGAAGGAAAAACAGGTGTTTCCCATATTCTTTGTGATTGCCTACACATGGGGCTTTTATATTGTACTTCAGTGACTTTGGAGCACTGGCTTCTGCTGAAAAAGAAATAGCGTTACCAAAAAGGAGTGGGTTTCAAGAGTCTTCTTTGGTCTACAGCCAAATTAAATACGACAGCCCTCTTTAGCATTTAAAAAATTAAACCACAGCAGCTACTTTAGCCATAAAACCGTGCTTCCAGCAATTCTCATTTTAAAGTGTGGTACTGTGTGTGACTTAGTGTGTTAAAACCAAATGCAACGCAAAATGCCACTTAGATGCTGTCAACCCACCCAAGTTGGAGCTTTCACACAGAACCAGTAAAATAACATTGACATCTTCTAGTAGATTGCTTTTACACTGTGCAGTCTCAAGTTTCATCTTGCAGAACCAGTGAGCTCCTGATAGCTGCTAAGATTGATGGTATTGCAGTGTTACCAGCAGGCATGATTTTATGAGATGCAGGTAGAAATGTCAGTGGCTGCTTTCTATGACACACACGTTTTACAGTGGGTTGTTCTCGATGAATACACCTGCATGAGTGACAGAAGGAGGAAGGACAAAAGAGGAGTTGCTTCTGCCAGCTGGTCAGGGTGAAAGTCAGGGGTATACTGCAGATCTAGGGCTGTCCAGGGAAAGCCTACAAAGGCGCTCATACACAATGGAAGCCTGTAATGCACAGAGTATTCAAAGCAAACTCAGCTTGAGTTGATTGTTGATCCTTGTGCACTGAGCTCTTCCCTGAAAGCAAGTGTCCCTGCACTTCACCCCGATTTCTTTCAGCACAGAGCTTGCAATGTGAGACCTCTATTACATCTGTCAGTCATGGAACATTCCTGAGCATGGAGCTCTGGTCTCATCTTTCGTTGTTAATGTAGCAGCAGAATGCAGAGAAGCAGTAACGCCTCCAGAATGTATTCCTTCTGTTTTCAAGTGTTACTATATTGATGGCTTTTGTTTACTCACGAAGAACTTCCAATATTTTAGCCTAGTTATGCTTACTGAAAGAAAGCTCTACAGGTAAACAAAAAATCACAGAATCCCAGACAGGTTGAGGGTGGCAGGATCTCTGTGTCCATCAGGCTCAACCCCAGTTCCAGCAGGGACACCCAGAGCAGGATGCCCAGTGCTTCCATCACCTGCACAGCACAGAAGTGCTGCCTGATGGTCAGTGGGAGCCTCCTGTGTTTCCTTTTGTGCCCATTGCTTCTGGTCCTGGCACAGGACACTACTGATAAGAGCTTGGCTCTGTCCTCTGTGCACCCTCCCCTCAAGCAGAACATCACAGCTCTCTCAAACCTTTGTCACAGGAGACATGCTCCATTCCCTTTGTCATCTTGGTGGTCCTACACTGGACTCTGTCCAGTATGTCCATGTCTGTCTTCTACTTGGGAACCCAAATAAAACTCAGTATTCCAAGTGACAGCACTGTACTTACCAAACTGAGCAGAGAATTACTTTCCTTGACCTGCTGGCAATACTTTGCCTACTGCAGTCCAGGACATCATCAACCTTCTCTGCTGGAAGGACACATTTCTGACTCATACTCAGCTTGGTGTTCACCAGGATGCCCTGGTCAGTTTCTTCCAGGCTGCGTTCCAGCTGGGTGGCTCCCAGCTGGTCCTGGTGCTTAGTTTCATTCTGAAAAATCAAAAGGCCAGCTTTAGGAAGTGACATCAGAGATGAATTTGCTCTCTGGCAAATGTAATTACATAACTCCATTCTTCATAAAAAAAGAAAAAAAAAATCTTTCAAATATGAAAATGATAAAATGATGGAGTTTCCAACCTGATCTGTTCCTTTTTACCTTTGCTTTTTCTCTGTTTGTCTCAGACAATTGATCCTCTTCTACAAGGTGCACAAAAATAAAGGAATACAAGTTTCTCTTTTAAGTTTCATTTGAGCAACAGCTTTCTTCACAAGTCTCAGGGTTTTGTGCTTGTGCTTCCTACCTTATAATCAATATTTTTATTTGGATACCAGCTGCCATTCAGAGGTGATGAAGCTTCTGAACTTTCCAGCCTTTCCTCATCTGGCAGAACAGTAGCTGCATTGCTCTAACTGATCCCAAGCAGAAATGTGGCAGGATGGATTTGTTAACGGTGAGAATTTGGTAAAACAAGCAGCACCAACTAGAGCAGAGAGCAAACCCCAGCCATGGCTCCCTTCCTGGCTCCTGCTTGCCAGGCATCCAGCAGAGTCTTCTCACCAGCACATGCTGCAGCAAACAGAACCAGGTGTCTTGAATGATGCCATACCAGCTAAGCAGCAAGTCAAGCTCAAAAATAGTAACAGATTCATAGAATCATCAAGTTTGGAAAAAAACACTAAGATCATCTAGTCCAACCGTCAGCCTATCCTCACCATGGTCCACCAACCATGTTCCTCAGTGCCAGCCTTGGGGCTCGAACATGAGCTATCATGTGTAAGTATTTTAGCCCTACTAAAAAGCAGAAAATAGAACTTTGTGTGTAAGCACTTGGCTTCTCAAAGCTGGTCTGTCTCCCTCTCTCATGGACATTTTTTGAAGGATCAGAAATCAGAGTGTGAACATACAGCTAGAGCTTGAAATCGTAGAAGCCTCTTGAGAAGGAGGAGGAAAGAAAAAAAAAATCCCCAAACGTTCACACGAAACCAATTAAGTTCCAAGAAATAGTATCTGTATAGTGACTGTCTCCTATAGTAGCTTAATGGGGTTCCAGGATGTATAAAGAGATGTCCATTATCGTCTTTCTCTAAATACCCAAGAGCCAAACATGAACAGAAGCTCTTCCAAATACCCTCGAGGTGGGGGGTGCCCTGCATGGGAAGAATCCTGAATATCGACAAGTGATTCCCACTCAGTGATCACATTAATAATAAAACCAAGCATTTCTTTGCTAACATTTCTCCACGAGAAGAAAAAAAAATCCTTACGAGAAGCCAACTCACTTAGAAGTAAGCTCTGTCTGGAAAACCAAGTTAAATATAGGCGATACTGTAGAAATAATCTTTTTGTAATTGTTCTTATGTCTGATTTTGCGCTCACTGGAATATGGGGTGGACTAGGAGTTACATGTATCTTCCAGAGGTAAACAACAAACCTGAAGTGCTCGTGGAGCATGGAACAATTACTGTTGGCTCCACCTGAGGCTGCTGAGCAAGCTGTTCCTTTCATTGCGCTATTATTAGATGGGAGCAGAGAGGGTTGGACAGCAGCGCTCATTAATGGTTAGGACAGCCAAGTCTGCAGAGCATGTGGCTTGTTTTCTCCAGAGCTCAGACATCTGTGCACACCTAACTCCAGGCCTGAACAAAATGATTTTCCCCGTGAATAAAGCACAGTGAAATGAATGAAGAATTTGGAAAAGAAAAAGCAGATTTTCAAGGCAGTCCTAGGGAGTCTTGTGAATATAAATCATCACTATCCTGATAAATGGCTTTCATTTTATTTCTGTATACAGATGTTTCCATGTAGGTGCGGAGTATCAAACATATAATTGAAGCCAAAGTGCAATAAGAGTGATGAGAACTTGAGAGGTGAAAATTCCTTTGTGTTCTGAGTAGAACAGTACTGACAGAATTGACACAGGAAAAAAGCCTGCATGGATCCAGAGACAGTTTGACAGGAAGAGCACATTTAAAGGCAACCTCAGGAACACAGCTAGAAGTGGAGCTGAGGGATTTATATGGCATCTGTCCAGAAAGGTAACGAAAATACATTTTTTGGCAGTAAGCACTGAGAAAATCTTGTGGTGAATACAATAAATTGAACAGAAAACACATCCAGTCCCTAGCTTGACTTTGACTAACCCTGGGCTGCCCTTAGAATGCTGCAGAAAGCGAGTGCTGCTGAATGTCAGGATGGTGTAGTGTAATTTTATGGACATTGTGTACTGACATTCAGCGATGTTGGTGCTTTGGACACACGCTTCTCTCGAGTCCCTCTCGGTCTCCCACTCAGTTCTGCTCCATGGGTGCCCTGCCCATGCTCCACCCGCAGCGCTCACAGCGGGAGCACAAGGAGGGCCCTCCCGAAGCTATCAATCCGTGCCCATCCCACTTGCTGGAACGCCAGCCTGTTAAAAGTGCCTTGTTTTCACTTGTCTTCTCTTCGCATTTATGTTTTCCATGCTCTTCCTATTCTAAAAGCCAACGAGGAGCTGGGTAGGTGTACCTGCTACTCTACCATAAGCAGCGTTAAAGCTCTGACATTCAAACGTCCAATTTAAAAGTTGAATAACAGTTAAATTCAGAGAGCAGTCCCATTTCAGGGGGAAGACATTTGTCATCCCGCCAGGCTGGGCAGCAAGCGCCAATTCGAGCCGCATCCGTATGGGAGCCGGAGGCAGGGACGCCCATCGCTCGGTCCGGCAGTCCCGGGTCGGGAGCTCCATTCAAACACACGTTCCATTCTCTCGGATCGTGAGGAGATTCGAGCGCGGCTTCTCCCGACCCCCCCCCCCCCCCCCCCAGGACTGCCCCGCCGCGGGCTCTGCGCGCACCACGGCAACGGGCTCGGCTCCCCCCCCTCCGCGGCCCCGGGGCGTCGCCCCCGCCGCCCGTCCGAGCGCCCGCCCCGTGGGGAATCACCACCCCGCTCGGGGGCCAGGTACACTTGACGTCAGGATGGCTGTCGTCGTTTTGACGTGTAAACACTCATTTCCATTCCGGCACCGGAGGGTCTGGGAGCCGCGCAGCCCCGGGCTGCCGCGCCGAGCCGCGCCGCGCTGAGCTGTGCCGCGCCGCGCCGAGCCGAGCCGAGCCAAGCCGAGCCGGGCAGGGCTCGCCTAGCAACGCCGTCCCGCCGCCCCATAGCCATGGACGGGCCCCGCCGAGCCTGTCGCTGCGCGGCCCTGGCGCTGCTGGCCGCCTGCTGCCTGGCCCGCGGCGGTGGCGCCGAGCGGCAGTTTCTCAACGAGTGGGCGGCCGAGGTCCCGGCGGGCCCCGACGCCGCCAGAGCCATCGCCGAGGAGCTGGACTACGACCTCGTGGGGCAGGTAGGGGCGGGAGGCGGGTTGGGGACCCCCGGCGTTCTGCCCCCCGGCCGGTGCCTGCGAAGCTCGGGGACGTTGCGGGCGCAGTCCCCGCGAGCGGCTCGGGGGGTGGTGGGGGGGTTGCTTCGGGCGGGACGGGGCTTAGCCCCCGACTCCCCGCCCCGGAGCGCCGTCGCGGGGCTGCTCTCCCGCAGGCCCTCCCGGCGCTTTTTCGGGATGCCGTGACGTCAGCGTTGTCAGGGATGAGTAACCGCCCGGGGGTGACGGCTCTGTCCCTCCTCCGGCCGGGGTCCGGGACAGCTCGCTCCGAGAGCGCCCCTTCGGCTAGCGCCGGAGCGGCGCGGGTACTGGGGCCGCAAGGAGCTCTCGCACCTGAGCCGCGGGCAGGGGCGGCCCTGCGAAGTGCCGCGGGTGGAACTGTGCTCCTGTGGGAGTGCGACTGTACCCGTCGGTCCGTCAGCCGGTCGGTCGATCGGTCCGTCGGTCCGCCTGTCGGTTGGTCTGTCAGTGTGTCAGTCAGTCAGTCAGTCAGTCAGTCTGTCGGTCTGCTGCCAGGCTGTCAGTCTGTCGTCCAGTGTTTGTCAGCCACTCAGTCTGTCAGTCTGTCTTACAAGTCATTCAGTCTGTCTGTGGTGGTGCTGGTCATTACTGCAGGAGCAGCACTGCCGTGCTAACTGCTCTGTTACTAATGAGTGCAACTTCATTACTGTAAATAAAACTATTCCTCCATACCTTCTGTGATAAGGCTGTGATAAGCACGAAGTACTTCAGTAAGGTTTTACTTCAGATTAACACAGCAGAAGGCTGGTTCCTTGCCCTTTCAGGCACACAGTTGGTTGTGAGTACTGGTATGTGTTGTCTGTAAGGAAACACCTTTCCAGAGTGAAGGTGCACCTCTGTCTTGCAGATTGGGTCGCTCAAAAATCACTATCTGTTCAGACATAAGAGCCATCCACGACGGTCCCGGAGAAGTGCCGTTCACATCACCAAGAGGCTTTCTGATGATGAGCGGGTGAGTATTGTATCCCTTCTTCTCCTCTGTCCGTTCTGGCAGTGTAATGCTACTGCCTGATGAGGTCACTGGCAGACCTTCTTCGCTTTGCAAGTCTGATGCATTCAGCGTTTGGCTTGTGTTGAATAGTACTTAATTATTCTGTCATTAATAGGCAGAGTCTGATCCTCTCAACACGTTTTTCGCAAGTGCTTTCCAGTTGCAGATTTCAGATATGAAGCACTGCAGAGGTTTGGAATTTCAGATCTGTTGCTGATGAAAATTATAAATGAGGAACCACAGAGTTTAAAGTAAAAAAAACAATGATGCAATCCAATAGCTATGGAAATCAGGTTTGATTTAATGTGATTGAACACTGGGGGGAAAAAAAGGAGTTGCTCTGGACTGTACCTAAGGCATGTCCCATGGAGCAGACTCCCCATTTCTCTGCCTCTGCTTAAGAGTGAAGTTTCCTTGCTTGTAAACGTGGTGAGAAAATGCAGTGGGTGGCAAATTTAAGGAACAGAGCAGGATACTGTCAAACAATATCAGACACATATCAGAACACTGACATTTGAATTTCAGATCAACTTTATTGCAGCAGTGGTCCAAAATGTCAAGTATCTCCATTGTGAGCACTTTGAGCCATGTAAGGACAAATCACTTGATGGCAAATAATTTGTTATCTGAGTGAAGTTTTTGGATGCAAATGTCACCTGGGAGAAAAGATTTTATGAAGAATTAAGGGAGGGGTAAAGGCTGTGTATTTATTTTGCGTGTTCTGGTTCAAGCTGCCCATTCCCATCTACCTCCTTTCAAACACTGTTGTAACAGTTACAATCTTTGAGGTGAAATCATTCTAAAATGGGCATGTTCAAAGCCATATTCCAGTATAAGTAATCATCAATAAAGTTTGTGTCTTCTAATTCTTACCAACTGCCTCAAGCTGCTGCAGTTTGGGAAGCATTTTGATTAATGCTCTCTCAGACACAGTATTTAATTTGTGGATGTGCTGTGTGGAGCCAGGGGTTGGACTGGATGATCCCTGTGGGTCCCTTTCAAGTTGAGATGTTCTGTCTTTTTGGGGGGATTTATACTTACATACTTAGACTTCAAAAGTGGCTTTGTAGTACTGCAGATGATTTGTTAAATTTATTCCAATTTCCCTTTTATTTACCATCTAATATGCAAATTAACGATGTGAATGAATTAGGTGTAATTATGTCATTATGTAAATATACAAACACAAAATAATCATGCAGTGCTGTGTAGTTATACACGAACCTTTCCTCCAAAGAGCAACAGCCCACTAAAAAGATTAAAATTCATTCTTAAAAAAGGGAGGGGGAAAGAAGACAGTCCTGCTTTTCTTTGTGTAGAGCCTTTGTGATTCTTACAGCACGTTAAGAGTGACAGCTGGGGGGCAAAGCTTGCCTCTAACCTGAAAATTTGTATCTGCTATGGGCATCCCAGTGTTACAGTAAAACAGGCGGTGGCAATGAATGTTTCAAAAGGATACAGTTATGTGGTTTCCTCACTTCTTGCAGTAGGGACCTGGATCCCGATCATTTTCACTGCTTTGTGTACCAGTGAGTGGAGATCTGGCAGAGGGCCGTCTGCTCTTGCAGTGGATGGGTAGCCTGTACCTGGCTCAGCTGCTGAGTGACAAGCGTTTGGCTTGTTTGTCAGACATATGTGCTCGGTAGTTCCAGCTCATTTCTCTCAGAGCAGCTGTCCGCATCAAAAAATAGTGAGCATGGAAGCTGTCAATTCTTAATTACTGTTCGCTGATGAAGAGACCAAGCTTTGCTGTGGGCATGGAGGAGGGATAAAGGTAATTGTTGTAACCTCGGCACAAGTACACACAGCCTTGTGTATCAGTAATGCAATTTAGAATGCTTACACCTGCACTGGCATGTTCGTCTTCTGTGACTAATGGTGCTTTTTAGGGGTTTTTGCTCTAAATATTTTGCAAAGGGAATGTCATTAGCTTTCAGTACATGTGCCTGGTTTAGCTTCTCTTTTTAACGGTTTATGTTCTTATGGTGAATTCTCATTAAGTTCTCCTTAAAAATAAATAAATAAATAAATAAATCAAATCAGTACATCTTTATTACAATAGTTTCCAACTCACTCATGTTATATTCGGTGATAGACGTTAGGAGCATAACGTTATGGTATGGCAGCAGACAAAAATGCTGAAATCTATTCCAGTGTTTAAAGCAAAAGGTTTAGAATCAAAGCAGTCTCCACCTGAGGCTCACAGCAGGACTTTGCCAGTCTCCTGAACACGAGCTTGCTTTGCTTGTTAGGAAATTGGGAAAAACATCACCTGGGTCTGTGTCAGTGACTGTCCACATGCCAGCAGTGGGTAACGTTTATTACCATGGGTATGAGAATGTTTTGAACTGGATTTAGTAATGTGTTGAAAGGAACAAGAGTGAGAAACATTTTTAAAATGTAGCTCTGTGACTTAGAGAATGCTGTGTTCATGCGCAAATGCTATGCAATTCAGTGTAAGGATGCATTAACAAAACACACTGAAACGTTTTGGCTCAGTTGCCTTAAGTGGAATTACATGATGAAATTAGACCCATATTCATAGCTTAATAACTGATCATGCCTCAAAACACAAATGGGAAGGAGAGTTGAAGGTCCAGCTGGGCTGTGGATAACATTGTAGATATGACTGTTAGACTAAAACCTGAGATAATCTTTCATCTTTTCTTTGAATTCCCACTTGTAGTTGATAGGCATTAAAATGAAGGTAGGATAAAGAAGCAGGCTGTAGATTTGCTTCTTAAATAACCTTCTCACCATACAGCACATTTGATATAAAAGCCAGCTTTGCTTGGCATTCACTGGGACTCAACTGCTAACTTAATGATTTTAATTGCACTGCATTGTGATTTTACCATATCCCCTTTTCTAAAGTGCACTGTACTACAAAATAAATAATCTTCCTCTCTGCATCAGACATTGCTTTTTTTTTTTTTTTTTTTTGCATTAGGCATCAGTATTTTTCTGTGTGAGAAAAACTCTTACCCTTTAGGCTAAGAAAGTCCCTGTGTATATGGCTTACTTCTCGCATCTATGTAAATAACTGCAGGTGTCATGGGCAGAGCAGCAGTACGAAAAAAAGCGAACTAAGCGTGCTGCTGTGACAGACTCGGCAGAGAATCTATTCAACGATCCTATGTGGAATAAGCAGTGGTATCTGGTAAGAATTTGCCTTATTGTGGAATTGGGGGCAATGGATTTCGGTTGTGCTATCATCTGTACTATTTTACTAGTAACAGAGCGAGGGCTTGATAGTAGAACACGATACATTAGCTAAAATCTACCTTTAGCTTAAAAATGTTTGTTGTCAGCATGTAAGAATTCCTTTATCATGTCTGAAGCTGGGTGCATATTCCTTCACTAAAATTGATTGTGTGGAGAGCATACTCCAGCAGAAAACAAAGGCATGCGTGCACATGTAACAGGCACCTTGAACCTCTTGGTCAAGACTGTAAGTAGAAAAGATTCTTTGTAGCTCACATGTTCAAACCCTAAAGAAAAATAAATCTCCTGACCTCTCTAGATTGAATATGACAAGTCAGAAATACAGTTAATCACTTATATTTTGTACAATTTCTTTTGAGAGTCCGTATTTCCACAAGGCATCTCACTGTACTTTCAGTCTAGATGTCAGTTCTTGCACTCAGGATGGGGATAGGTTAAAAGGTGTATAGCAAGAAAAATGTTCAAAGTGCAAACACAACCCAAGTGACTGGAAGTACTTTATTTTCTTCAAAACACATAGCGTAACATATTTCCTTGAAGATTACTGCAGATTTCTTTTCAACGTGGAAAATGGTTATCTTTAAGAATTTTACTTTTCTTTGAAGCTGAGAATGTGCTTGCTTGTTTGCCTGCTTTTAATAGGAAACAGGAGATATCCAAGATGTCTGTAATGGACTAATGGACAAAAGCACAAGCACAAGAGTTCAAAAACTCTTTTTCTTTTTTTCTTTTTTCTTTTTTTCTTTTTGAAAGAAGCAAAATCCTGCTCTCTAAGAGTTTCATTTCCCACCTTCCTGTGATTTTCACTCCTTTTTCTTTCACTCCGGTTTACCCATATGAGAAACAGAAAGCGTGATGCTTACTCATGTTTGCAGTACACACTGATTTTTTCTAACTAAATGCATAAATGCATCAAATATTTCCTTCCAAAATCTATCGTTGCCTTGTGGTAAATTTCTTATTATCTGATTAATGACAACAGTTTCTAACTTCTATGTGCCTTCAACCAACACCAGGAAAAAATGATTTTTTGTGGATTCTAGAGAACAAAACCTGAAACTTCAAAAATTCCCTCATAGCAGCAGTCAGAAAATAAAGTATAAATTGAAAGAATTGCCATAACGTATTTCTTCCTCTGAGCCTCAAATATGTTTCCAATATTCTCTTGGAAACAAAGAAATTAAAAACCTGTGATCAACTAAGTTAATATGCACAGGAAAAAACAAAGTGCTGGGTTTTATGTCTCTGTTTTTATAGTGTAATAAGTAAAGCTTCAAAATTCAATGTATGTACTGCACATTTAATATTAGAGAGGAAAAATGACCTGCTTAGGAAATGCTCTTCTGAGAGCACTTCCACTTGCTGTGGGAAGGAAAGCTCTAGATGATTCACGCTTTCAGCTGATTTACCACAGGAACAGTAATGAGGGTAGTAAACAGAAAGTTGTGATTCAGCACAGTTGTTCCTAGCCAAACGGCTGCCTTAATTGTTTTAGCCATTAATTATTCTGCTCTGGCTAACTTGAACATCACAGGAGAAAACACGTTTGGAGAAAATACAGCTTACTGTGCTGTGAGCTATGTACTGTCTTCTCATCAGGAGAAAAGAACAATTAGTAGGTCTGATTATTTACTCAGCTTTCCAAGGATCATGGCTATGTCTCTACTATCCCCATCTTTCTGTTGTGTCCTCTAATAAATACAAGGTGCTTTTTATTCAGAGGTGGAAGCTTAGGTGACCGGGGTGCTGTCTTTTGATACTACAGGTATTTGAATATACTACAGGTTTTTGTTTTATTTCTTTGAAGTTTGAACAAAATACACAAATTCAGCCTGGAATGGTTTAAAGAACCTTTAGAATATGTCTTTGAATCTGTGTGTTGTGAGTGGATGGAAATATTAATGCATTTGTAATCCATTTTGTTCCTCAGCAAGATACAAGAATAACTCCATCTCTTCCCAAACTGGATCTCCACGTTATTCCTGTGTGGCAAAAAGGGATTACAGGCAAGGGTGTTGTCATCACAGTATTAGATGATGGATTGGAATGGAATCACACTGACATCTACTCTAACTATGTAAGTTTGGGTATTAGATTGCTGTTGAATAGGTTAACTATTTGTAAATTTGATATGCAGATGCTCTTGCTGTCTCTGTCTTGCTCTCTGTTCTGTAAGGCAGCTTCTATATTACAGAGAATGAAATGTTTGTCTCAGGTATTATTTGGAACCTGATCTGTGTCACAGGAAGTTCAGTGTTATTTAGCAAAGGTAACTTCTTTTTCTCTCAGTGGATTTAGTTGTGTACATGTTTGTATACAGTGGTTTAATGCTGAATTATTAAAGCTCCATGAAAAATTTATGGAATTGTTAATGTTCATCAAATTCTATGCACTTGATTGCACTATGCAGTATGAAGCACACCAAATGAACAAATACAGGCTCTAGAACCCATTTTGTAACACATTTAAATATCTATTTCCTAGTTGTCCCAATTAATTCTGTTATTTTAAATGCAGGATCCGAAGGCAAGTTATGATTTCAATGACAATGACTACGATCCATTTCCTAGATATGACCCAACAAACGAAAACAAGTGAGTAACCTCCCAGTCGTGTGAAGAGAACCAAACAGTGCAGTACTTTGTGTGTTACAACATGCAAGTGTGGAAGTATCTATGACCCCTATTGCAATTATATATGAACAGAAAATTTGTGCAACAGAATCAGAGAATGGTTGAGGTTGGAAGGATTCTCTGGACTAGTTTAGTACAAGCTCTGCTCTTTCAGGTACCCTTTGGGATGGTTGACCAGAACTTTGTCCAGAAGCTTTTTGAGTGCTCCGAGGATGGACACTCTGCAACCTCTTTCATCAGTTTGTGCCGGTGTTCAGGAAGCACTCACATTAAAAAACGTTTCCTAATGCTCAGTATTTTCATTCATATAAATGTTTTCACAGACACTGGAAATTAAAGAAATTAAATTTTCACGTAATGAACTTCTCCATATCATAGTATGTGTAAAGTCTGATATATTTCTGTAAGTTGAACAGAAAAATGTTTTTTCTGTTTGTAGAATAATATCTGCTTGAGTAGACTTTGACTTTCCCTGCTTTGCACTGGGAAACTTAAAATACATCTCTTGTGAAGGACTCTGTAAGATACAGTTTCTTAGAGGAATCTAGAAACCTGCCCAAAAAATCTCATCCCACCTCGTCATTTCTTGTAGCTTAGCTTTGTGATTTTGTCAGTACCTTCTGGGCTAATAGCATGTGTTCTAGCTCAGTGCAAATGGGCACAGGTGCAGCCATGCTTCTGACTTCATCCTCTTTTATGGATGTGACTATGAAGAAGGTTACATTCACTTCCTGGAAAATCTTTCAGGTAAAAAGTGTGTGTGGAAGCATTGTAGACCAGTTTTGGCCTGAGCATCTTCCAGGTGATAACTTAGGAAGTTTCAGAAAGTTTGAACACAGGCACCAGCCAGTTCGTTTTGTGGACTTGTGTGTCTTGGAAGGAGTGGGGAATTCTCTTGATCTACCACTCTGGTTCTCAGTGGGACATCACAGTGAATCTGTTACTGTGGGAGTATTCATAGTAGTTCTGTGAGGGTTTTATCCTTCAGAAGGAGAAAAGAGTGGAACTGTTTAAAAGCTGGTGCAAAGAATAAGTCAATTTATTAAACCAATTGGGATGCCACTGTTCAGTGAAGATGCAGTAAGAAACCAAAGCACTGGTTCTTTATTGTCTGTCAAAGAGTATGATAGCATCCACAACAATATCAATCATGGTGTGGGGAAAAAAACAATCAATGGATAAATGTCTAATGAACAAGACTTTTGAAAAATGACATTTCTACTTTACTACAACATTATTTAAGAGCAAGAGTACATTATCCTCTTGCTCTGATGATATTATCTCTTAGATCTACCTGTATTATCACTAATCTTTGTTAATCAGTAAGTGGAATTCATCCCAGAAGCATTTAAATAGCTCATTGAATAACAATCTGTAGTATTAAGTAATAAAACTCTTGTACAATTATCTTTACCTGAAGATTTTCTGTGTCAAAGAGTACAGAATTGTCTATAGCAAAAAAAAAAATAAAAAAAATTTGCATAGTATGTACATAGTTACAAGAAAAATTCAGCAATGGTGAAGATACTTCACAGGCTGACTTTCTTAATAAATTTCTAAATAAGGAAATAAAGACAGCCCTTAGAAAAAATAAAGAGAATATCTAAAAATGTGGTTAAAGAAGTCTCTTTCATGTTTTGTTCTGAAAAAAATTAACGACCTTGCCACATAATTTTGCACTGCTCTTGTGCTCAGCTAAAGTAAGTGTAACTAATAGGTTAGTGAGATTAGATTAGTTATTTATCATCTTGTCATGATGATTGTTTGACAATTAAATATGTAAAATTATAGAGACATAAGTCTAAGGCAAACAAATATTTTTGTATAATGTGAATATAATACCAAAGCTGTTCAATAGCTGCATTACATTCAGTTCAAGACATCCACCACATCAAGAAAGTCACTGATGAGTTTTTGTATGTGTTACATGGAAGCGTCTAGGTTATGAGAAGTCATTCATTCTTGCTATATTTATCCAGGCATGGAACACGGTGTGCAGGAGAAATTGCCATGCAAGCCAACAATAGAAAATGTGGAGTTGGAGTAGCCTACAATTCTAAAGTTGGAGGTAAGAAACCAAGAATAGTTAGATGTGTGATGTGAATGGAAACCAGGAGGCATCACTCTTGCCGTTACAGGCTAGAGGATAGAGTGACACTGTTTCTTAAATTCCAACATATTTTCTGGATTCTGGTTTTCACTTCAATATAGGTAAATCACATAATATGTAACAAGAAAATAATAACAAGAAAATAATATGGGTAGTAAAAACAATCTGTTTCGTACCCAGAGAGAAGGTTGTTTCTTTAAAAGAATGACAGATCCACTTCTTATAGCTGGTTGTTTTGGGAGAAGATGGCATGGGGGAGGAGAATGATTTGAGAAGAACAGAAGAAAATACATCCAAATTTATACCCACCTTTGCTTACAGCATATTATTTTCATCAACGCAGTTATTTTCAAGAAGTCGTGTCAGTACAGATACTCATAGTGCTGTGGTTATTATCATCATAAATTAATTTTGAAAATAGATATTTATTCTTGTCCATCAGTCAGTATTTTCATTTTTTGAAGAGGTGATTAAAAGTTTAATCCATTAGTGATTTATGAAATACTTATGATCGAAGTATCAATCTTAAATGGTTATTTAGCTCAGAGGAAGATACTTGTTACAGTCCTGGTTTTTCCATTTTTTCTTTTAAACAAAGAGATGTTAAGTGGCAATTGACACCTTTAACTGCCATTCCCACCATTTTAGTCTTACGTTCATAGGTTCCCATTTACTCTGCTGAGCTGTCAGCTTTGCATTCTACCTTTGCCACAATGCATTATGCTGTCATACTCTGTTTAAATAAAATATCTCACTCACAAGATGAAGATGCCAGATTTTCAAAGCAAGGCAAAATGGATGAAGCTGCAGTGATGTCTGAACTCCTGCTGTGTCACTATTTTAAGGTACTTACATCTACACAGAAGGTTTTTCCACAGTTTTCATTTGCAAGTGCGTATTAGAATTCTGTACTGGGTGATTTGTCTGCAAAAGGAAAATAACAGGAAGAAAAGCAATCCAGCACTCCAAATTGCAGAAATCTGCTTGTAATTGGACAAGAAAGGTGAAAATTAGGAAAATTGAAATAAATAGTAAGCTGGCCTGCATGACTACCCCAATTATGTTAGGGATTGAACAAAAACTCTTTTGAAGAGCAATAGGAGGAGTCTTCAAAGGATTAGCTACATTTGGGATTTGCTCTGAGTGGTCACTGGAAGGCTTTTTTGACATGGGAGCTACGCAGGATTTATTTCTTTACAGGTTTTGTTCTTTTTTTTTTCTTATTAAATGCTTGAAATGATGCATTTCACACTTCTATTTGATGTCAGTTCAGGATGGCTTTTTTAAGCAGTTATTTCATTGTATCAGTTGCCATGCTGCATGAATCCATTGGTCCAGAGCCACTGTATTCTCTCTGATAGTCAGGAATATATGCTTTAAAGGAAGAGACTGACACTTGGAGTATGCTATTCTCTGACCTTCAACAGCAGAGACTGCTTTAACTTTGTCCTAATGCAAAATAGTCAATTAATAATTCCTTATTTTCCATGAAAATAATAACAGAAAGTACTAACAATCTTGGGTGTTCTAATTTGTCATGTTAATGTCTGGCCCTGTTCTGAAATCTGCACGAGTCTTTTTAAGACCTTGTATCTGTGAAGCTTTTCTGTGTATGGTGTGAAGCAAATGCTTACTAATGTCAGTTTCTTTTAACATGAACCTCTTGCTTTGGATAGAGCTGAGAAACGTGTGTATATGGAGTAAAGCAGGGTTTATATATCTTCATACATATCTAACCATCACACCATGCTACAGCATTTCTCTGGTGCTGCCATGGAAATCAAATGATGAAGAAGCTCGATATTACAAAGGACAGGGCTGAGAGTTCCCACACTGTGATGTGTTGCTAAGAATAACCTTCTGCCATGCAAATGTGTATACATCTCTGAAATTACCTTGGGCTTTGCCTGCTTGTCAATTTGTGGTACTGATGATGGGAGAAGGCATGCGGAAGAATTTATGCAAGAGAAGATCATTGGAATCTGCTTAGGGAAATATTACTGCAGTCATCAAATCTCTGGGTTGGCTTAAACATGCAGCGTTTTGGGAGATTACAAAAATAAGGCAATGATTTATTTTTCTTCTTGAGCCATTTTTATCACTGTGTTACCAGTGATGTTGTTTTATTCCTTACCATATTATTTGTCAGTTGCATTGGCTTGGTTTGTTTGGGAAATATCTGTATACTGTTCTCTGCATTCCCACTATCTCATGATGTGTTACAACCCAGTGCCGAAAGCTTTCAGTCATTTTCACACAGGCAGATCTTTGCTCACAGTGCTATGACTGCATCTCACAATTCTAAGCCACCTGAAATAGGAGTGCTCAAAATATTACAAGCTTTAGCCTCTGGAGGGTAAGTGGTATTTTTAGAACCTGAGGCACAGGATATACCTTGATTCTTTTCTCAGCTTAAGGAGTGATAGTGGTATCAGTAGTTGAGCAAATTAACTCCCTTGCCTCTTTTTGCCACTTATTAATGTGAAATAACCATAGAATCATATAATGGTTTGAGTTGAAAGGAAGTATAAAGCCCACCCAGCCCCAACCAGTGCTGTGGGCAGGGCTGCCCCCCACCAGCTCAGCTGCCCAGGGCCCCATACAAACTTTGGCTTTGAGCACCTTCAGGGAAGGGGCACCACAGCTTCTCTGGGCAGCTGTGTCAGGGCCTCACTGCCCTCTGAGTAAAGAAGTTCCTCCTCACATCTAATTTAAACCTTTCCTCTTTTAGTTTAAAATAATTCCCTCTTGTCCTATTGCAACCAGATTGTGTAAAAAGTAGTTCTCCCTCCTGCTTGTAAGTTCCCCTTGTAAATATTATTAAATAATCAAGCTCAGCTTTCTCACAAATGATTTTAGGAGTCTTGGGGTTCTTCTCTGTGCACAAGGTTATGCTTTTTTAATGATTGGTAGTGAAAATGAAGAATGACACACATAGATGCAAGTGGAAGAGCTTTTTTTCTTTTCATTTTTCTAGAGCAGTCACATTCTTCTTGACATGTTTTGGAAAAATTCCCATTTAGTGGAAAATACTAGGAAATGAGTACACATAATTCTATAGTACTCACACTGCTGTAGTACAAGCTTGGCAGGTTCAGGAGAATATTTATTTGTTGAAAATGGGCTGAGTCCTGACTCCTGTAGCTCATCTATTGCTACTGTTGCTGGGAGAAGGGTACCACAGTGGGAAGGTTGCCAGACTGCTGCTGTTTCTTTTCTCATCCAGTCCTGGACAGTGATAGCAATCCTATTGAAGGCTAGAGTTTGCAGAGCGAGTCATCCACTGCAGATGAGCGGCTGTCTGCTGCTGAATTTTAAGTACCACTGATCTCAAGCTTGCTCTGAAGATTAGATCAGGCAGTTCCCAATAAAATGTTAATGGCTTGATATCACTAGTCTCTCTGGATTGCTCACAGTCGGAAAAAATGTGGTAGTAAAACAGCACTGAGATTTTTTTGTCATAAAGAATGAAGAATTGGTGAAATAGGATCACAAAGACAGTACAAGCTTAATGGCAGAGAGGACTGAGTGGCACAGTCATAATTAACTCTTAAAAATAGTGTTGGTAAAACCTATGTAGTTTTAACGATACAATAGCCATTTCAGTGAAGAAGTCTTTTGCAGATTTAGTAGGAAAGGAATGAAGTAAAACAAGCTCAATGTAATAACAAGAAAACAGGAACACTAAATGGAACATCATCTTCTTGGCTTTCTGCAAAAAGAGAAAAAGAAGTCAATAAGGTGCAATCAAGATATTTGTGGTTTTTTCTTTTTTTTTTTCCCCAATGTGTATAGAGCCCCAAGCTCTGCAAAAAGGGTAAGTATACTGTTTTGCACTGACCTGAGTATTATTTAAATAAATAGCAATAGGCTATGGTGAAGTTGATTTAGATTAATTTTGCTGAAAGTGCAACAGTGAGGTAACAAAGAGGAAGACGGAAACAGAAAGTTAATACAATCTGCTTGTTTTTCTTTGTTAAGGTATACGCATGCTGGATGGAATAGTCACTGATGCTATTGAGGCCAGTTCAATTGGTTTCAATCCGGAACACGTGGATATTTACAGTGCAAGCTGGGGCCCAAATGATGATGGTAAAACTGTTGAGGGACCTGGGAGACTGGCACAGAAAGCTTTTGAATATGGGATAAAACAGGTATTATACTTATGAAAAAAAATACAATAAAACGTGACAGAGGACAGAATTTTAAAGTGGTTTGTCTCAGGCAGGAAATGAAAATGATTTGTGCTCTATTCACATAACTGAAAAGCAGAACAGACATTTTAATAGTACTGGTCAGAAATTGCCAGCTAGAACATGACTTTCAAAAAGGTGCGATTAGAGCCTTCTTAAGCTTGTTTTAGCTGGTATTCTCCACAGAAAAGCTTTCTTCTTCCATCCTTACTTCTGCTGCCTCTGTCTCACCCTACCCCCACCCTTCTCTGCCGCTTATTTTGCACTGAACAGTAATTGGATTTCTGCACTGAAAGCCTATAAAAATTTAATACAAAATTTCTGCTTCATGAATATTTTGCTGTATGAAATACTGATGCATTTTAGCGCCCTGTGGATGGGTTTGTATTGTGTTAGTTGCATTAGTTCATAAATAAATGCGTATCACATTACAATTAAAGGGAAGATAGCAAAAATGCATAATGTAGAGTAATGGAAACAGTGGTTTTACAAGTAGGTGTGGTTTTTTTTGTTATGCTTTTTTGATCTCATTGGATGATGAGTGGGGATACTAACAGAGCTACTGGGGATCTATCAGAAAAACTGCTCTTGCTCTTGCCAGTGAGATAAAAAGATATCTAAAGATGGACAGGCACTAATGTAGAAAGGAAATGTGAATCAAGGTCAAGAAAGAAGGAAAATGGAGAATGCATGAAGGACAGGAGCAGAGCAAAAGAGGATACTGGAAACAGAGGAGACAGGAGAGGAAAAAAAAGGCAAGTCTGACAGGTGACATGCTCTGAGGGAAGAGTGGAGGTTGTGGAATGGGTTTATGGTAACAAGCATCCAGTATGTACACGGCAAGAAAAGAGGGATAGCGAAAAGCAGCAGTTAGGGAACCAGTGTTCAATGCTTTTACTTGGAAAAAAAGACAGGTTATTTGATAAAGAATGTACTTTTTTTTTTTTCTTTTTTTCCCCAACTTCTTTTGTTTAATGAGGGGATCAAATTTACCCATAATTTGTCAGGCTTCCTCTGGCAAGGATCTGAATGCGCTTCATTCCCCATCAAGTTACTTAGAGATGGGGTTGCCAACAAAGTTAAGTTTAATCCCTGACCCCTTTATTGCTGGCCCAGTAAAGCACTTAAGCATATGCATAGCCGTAAACATCTGTGCACCATCAGGAGCACTCCAGCAGGAATCAAACACCTGTTTACGTATATCATTGCCTTTCTGGATTGCAGCCTTGATTCTCAAAACAAAATATTATCTCATTTTCTGTAACGGATGTTGGTTGTCCTGCGTATTTTTGCAACTGTATCAAAAAGAGTGCAGCTTTTGTTTTGTTTTCTTTATTTTTAACGTTTTAAATGCTGCAAGTATCACTCGGTGCTTGCATGAATAAATCTCATCTGAGTGAGAATGTATTTCAACTGCAGGTTCCAGTGAATATACATATATTAACAAGTAATAAAATACAAATTTGCTCCTCACACAAAATGTATTGTCTCTTCTAAAGGACTATCTCAGCATAAGACTGAATTGAATAGCTGGTGTGTGCTTTCTCTTTGATAGCTGTGATAGTTCACATGCTGCTGCAGCACTCTGTTGTCAGCTGTCAGCATCAGTCGTTAGCTGTTGGTGCCTTATTACACACTGAAGGCCCAAGAAGGGAGTGAGAATGATTACATCCTGAGATTGCTGGTGCTGGTTCATGGATTTGTGAGAGAAAGGAGGATTTTCATCCAGATGTGCTTTTTGGTTTTCTGGTTTTCAGCAAGTACTAACAGTGAAAGATTTTATTCCAAAAATAATGGCAGAAGAGTCATATTAAGTATATTGTTTTCACTGGTTACCCACAATTCAAGTGCAAGTGAAATAACTCCTGATGAACTGGAAAGGGAAAAGGAAAAGAAAAAGGAAAGGGAAAGGGAAAGGGGAAGGGAAAGGGAAAGGGGAAGGGAAAGGGAAAGGGAAAGGGGAAGGGGAAGGGAAAGGGAAAGGGAAAGGGAAAGGGAAAGGGAAAGGGAAAGGGAAAGGGAAAGGGAAAGGGAAAGGAAAAGGGAAAGGGAAAGGGAAAGGGAAAAAAAAAGAAAAAGGAAAGGGAAAAGGGAAAAAAAGGATGGGGAAAGGGAAAATGAAAGGGAAAAGTAAAAAAGGAAACAGGAAAGGAAAAAAAAAAAAAAGAGTATTCTTCCTACAAATGTTCAGCACTAAATGCAGACAAGTAGGGAAAATTTACCTGTTGATCACAGATCCTGTCTTTAACATTAATGCGTGTTTTGAGGAAAATTACTGACTCTGGACACTAAACATAGACCAGTCAAACTAAAAGATACAGACAAACTAAGGATGTACTATAAGACCTGAGATAGAACACCTCAAGTGGCATTTTTTTTTTCTGTATGTCTTCTATGATGTTATAGAGGATTGTCTTTTTCTACCTGAAAATGCTAGATGTGTTAGGGTCTCATGGTAGAGACAAGAGGAGTTGTTAAGGATGTATTATGACGACTGAAATCTCTTTTATAACCGCACATTTCATTTCCTCCAGGGCCGAAATGGAAAAGGCTCCATTTTTGTGTGGGCTTCAGGGAATGGAGGTCGTCAGGGTGACAACTGTGACTGTGATGGTTACACTGATAGTATCTACACTATCTCCATTAGCAGTGCTTCTCAGCAAGGCCTTTCTCCCTGGTATGCAGAGAAGTGCTCTTCAACTCTGGCCACAGCGTACAGCAGTGGGGACTATACTGACCAAAGAATTGTAGGTTATTTTTATCAGATTCAGTACAAACATAAAAATGTATTATATATGTAACTAACAAATTAGAGTTCTTAAATGCTTTGTTTCTACTGCTTACTTTTCATATGCTTAGTGATTTCATTTTCAGACAGTGAGGAGTTTATAGTACAAAACATGTTTGTATTTCCGAACACCTACTATTTTGTAAAACATTGGCTAATTGTTGTAGCAATGCATTTAAATTAGCATGCTGAAATCTTCTGACATTTGAGTGTGACAGATGTCTCTGCATGAAGATGGTTCCATTTATCACAAAGAGAGACATAGAGTATATGCAAAAAGAACTAGTGAGTTTTATGTGCCCATACAAGTTAGTGTCTCTGTGCATGTTGTCACTCGAACACTTTCTGTAATATTTTTAACCCCTCAGTTCCTAATGTTCCAAATGACAACAACAATGGTGCTTGCAGACCTATAAAAGGTGCCCAGTAATGGACAGATCAGCCTGTACCTTCATTAACTGTGCAAGAAATAACTTGTACGAAAGAAATCTGCTGTGATTAAATAATACTGAAGGACCTATGATTTTTTTTCAGCTCTGGTTGGTGGTAATTTCAGAATGAATTATATGAGTGGAGATAAAAACAATGTCATTGCAATTTAGATGAGGAACCGATACTTCCTAAGAGATTACTCTTCAGATCTGAGTTATAAAGGTCTCAGTGTTTCCCTTTCTGTTTCTAGAGATACATAGGCAGATGAGTTTGGTATTCAATTGCCAAATAAAGCACATGTTTCATTGCAAATTATAGTTCTTCAGCTGAAGAGAGAGCAGAACACTAATACTAATCCTATGAGTAATTTTCTAGCAAGCAGTAATTTTAAATGTTCTAGGCCCAACACAATGATCTGTTTTTATGATTCACCAGTAGGCCTGAAACACTTATTGCGAAACCTTAGAATAAAAAAAGATACTCAGCGTGGGAGTATTTTGTTCAAATGCAAAACATTTTGATACAAAAAATATAGCTGAAGTAAAAAGAGTAGAATGAAATATGAACAAATTTAAACATCCCTTCCTCTGCTGGTAAGGAATGTATAAATACGCACCAAGTGGAAGATACATGGCTACGTTCGTGAGTGTGGATATGATTGTATTTACTACTGTTTATTCATGCAATTTGTTTTTTGTTGTTTTTCTGGCAGACAAGTGCTGATCTTCACAATGAATGTACAGAGACTCACACTGGGACCTCTGCATCTGCACCATTGGCAGCAGGCATTTTTGCTCTTGCTCTGGAAGTAAAGTAAGATGTCATAAAATTACAATTGAAACTCTTCCCTACTGTCTTCCCTCAAATGCTGCTTATTTCAAATTAAACCATATCACTTTGCAGTTCCAGTTTTTGTCAGTTAGTCTTGCTCAACCTGATGACAAAACTAAACAGCTTTCTGCCTCAACACCTGTCTAGCAAATCAGAACCTACATAAGCAACATGTAATGACCAAGGAATTTCAGTCCATTTAGTGCATTGATGATAATTGTTTGTTGAGTCAATCAATAGGACTTAAAAGAATTGAGGCTGTATTGTCAAGAGAGCATATTTTGAAGATGGTAGAATGCAGGAGTATGAGTGAAATGTTTAATCAATGTGCAGAATCTTTCCTGGCAATGATGAGACATATAATTGAAGGTACACAAGTTTGACTTTCAAAGCTAGCAGAGAGAAGATATGTTCAGACCCTGCAGGCCTGATAGTTAGATAGTATGACTTTGAGGCGGGGATAAAGAATAGGACAGGACAAGACAAGGCAATGGCCTTTTCACTTCAGGTGTTAAGATGCAGGCTTAGCACTTGAATAGTACGTGTTTTGCTCCATATGCTATTGTGTACTCCTTTGATGATATAAGCCAAGATACCTAGGACCATATTTTAAGGATTGGAGTATAATCACAGATAGATAGAATCAAATGCCCAGTGAATATTCACACCCAACTTCTGTAAAGACTGGTGGGAAATACTGCTTTTGCTAGATAAATTTAAATGCCTATGGGATTTTGAGTGATTGGACTCTAATCTTGCTAGATACCAGTTCTTAATTTACATAGAAATCTTGTCTACCCAAAGTGTTGTCAGCATAAGCATGCACTGTTTTTTTTTTTTGTTGTTGTTGTTTTTTAATAATTCAGTACTAGGTGCATTTCAAAAACTTTATATTGCAAAATAACAACTAAGAGAAAAGTGATGACTAGTACCAAAACAATTAACCAGGATCATTTTCTCAACAGCCCAAATCTAACATGGAGGGATATGCAGCACTTGGTAGTGTGGACCTCGGAATATGATCCACTGGCTGTCAATCCAGGATGGAAGAAGAATGGAGCGGGACTGATGGTGAACAGTAGATTTGGATTTGGACTACTCAATGCAAATGCATTGGTGGATTTAGCTGATCCCAAAAGGTGGAAAGGTGTACCAGAAAAGAGAGAGTGTATTGTTAAAGACAGAAGCTTTGAACCAAGGTAAGACATTAGCAGTAGTTAGGCTTAGTAAAGCGAGAAAGATAGTGTTGCACACAGATTGCTCTAAAACAAATTAGAATTAAAGTGTATCTTTGGTCTCTAATTTGTTTTTTTGCCCAGCTGCATTCCCCAGGAGGGAAAGCAACATTTGTTTGTTTGCTATTTTTTAGTGTAAGACTGATTAAAATAAATAGCATGAACCCTCACATAGGATAAGCTCACTGTGGCTCTTCATACAGCCAGTGTATGGGTGGATAATGCTGTGAGACCAAACCTGATCAAGTAGCAGTGTTTAGATTGCTATTAGTGGATGAAGAAAAAGATACCAAAGTTTTTCAGATATGTTTTTAAAAGGAATATCTGTAATAAGTCTTAGCAACTTCTCTCACATGACACGCATAATATAAGCCAGGATGATACACTTAGCTTTAGTCCTATCTACAGCACTGCTTTTATGAAAAATAAGAGTCTCTAAGGCTCGCTGAAAAGAGTGACAAGCCATAACCACTAATGATTGCAGCACAGTAAGCCTAAGCTGAGCTCAATGTACAGGTAGCTTATATCAGAAGTCACTAAACTAGTTAATCAGTAAGACCTTTCTTTTTCTACCTGTTCATATGTATGTTCGTTCTGTAGAATAAATACAGTATTTCAAAGATAGAAATTACACTGTGAGTGCACTAAAAATCTCTCTGTAGAAATGGATTGCCTTTTGTTTTGGATTGTAACTGCTCGGTAACCTTACTATTTATGCTATTTTACTATCAATTTGTTTTTATGAGCCCTCTCTTTTGCATAGAATGTTGATCTAGTGATGTATGTTGTATCTGTTTTTTATGCATTTTTATTGCTGTCTTCTTTGTTGCATTATAAAACAAAGATCTCAATACACTGAGTTCTGAATCATTTCTTTGGAGATTTGGTTACTGCATTCTCATTACTATTAATGGAAAATGTGAAGAGAATACTATGCACAGTGCTCTGAGAATATACAGAATAAGTAATGCTTTTATTCTAGAGATGACATGAATTGCAAAAGTTTAAAAGCACTCAGGTTCTTGCAGTGTTTTAACTCTCAGTTCTCCTGAATATTTCAGTGAGGCAACTATGTGTAGGTCTGACAATTATGTGGTGTATCTGGCTGCAAAGACTTAATTTTGTAGTCTCTGTGTGACAACAAAATACAGAGAGAGACTCAGTTATCAGACCTGCTTGCTTGCTTCCAGGGTGGGCTGCAAAACACTTGCTTATGCTGTGCCCCCATTCTAGAATGACTGTTAAACTCATCTCTACACTTCACATATTAATCCAGAATCATATATTTCTGTAAATAAAACTTCTGTAATTTTGCCAGGTTATTAAGAGCAAATGAGGAGGTCATCATTGAAATTCCTACAAAAGCCTGTGAGGGTCAAGAGAACTCAATTGCATCTCTGGAGCATGTGCAGCTTGAAGCAACAATTGAATATTCCCGGAGAGGAGATCTTCATGTCACTCTGGTGTCTCCATCAGGTATGGGAAGCATTAGAAACTATCTGTGTGTTCTTTGTAGATTGAAAATACATAATTATACAAATATAGTTACAATGAACAGAGGAGTGTGAGAACAGAGCATCCTGGAAATGAAGGAACTGGTTCTCTGAATCCCTTTTTCATTCTTGTGTTTTGGATTATTTTTGTAAGGTGAAAGTAAATCATGATTTAGAGATGAAGGCACTATTTCTAATGTGTTGCCTTCAAGCAGCAGCAGGACCTTTAAAAATTGAGAGCCCCTGGTGGTATCAAATTATAGTTTAATAATGCTTATTAACCTTACTGTGATTTGATGACCTAATGGAAAACTGAGGAAATCTGACTCCCTAGAGTTCATCTGACTTTGTCTCCCCACTGGTGTATGTTAAAAAAAAAAAAGTATGTCTCTGTTTGTCACTTTAGTACAACTTTACAAAACATACTGCAACATGGCAAGCTATCCTTATGGTGCATTGAAATAACATGATGAGAGGAAGAAAAATAAAAGAGAATGAGTATAAACAACTTTGTTGAAAGTATGATCTTCAGTCAGTTCAGCTGATATTATTCAAAAACAAAAGAAAACAGATATGAATTTAAACATCAGGCTAATCTAGTAATTCACAGACAATAAATAAGTAATGATTTGTTCATATTGTTGTTACATGACCTCACTTCAAAGCAGGTTAAGGTATTGTACATACGGTATACTTAGACACCCTACCTTATCTTGGATTCATCTGACTCTTCTTTCCCTTAGTTCTTGCTGTTTTTCTACTTTCCTGTGAAACATTCCGACCGAATTTGTCATTCCATTTCTATATTTACACTATTCTCTTTAATCAGAGAATAAGAGAATCATAGAATGTTTTGGAAGAGACCTTAAAGCCCACCTAGTCCCACCTCTTCCATGTCTTTCTTGTGTTGGGAGCCCTAGATATGAATGCAGTACATACCACTCTTTTGATGCAACCCAGAATGCAGTTTCCCTTCTAGGCTAGAAGCACACACTGCTGCTTCACATCTGTCTTTTTGCCCACCAGAAAGCCCAGGTCCTTCTCCAGTGGAACACTCTCAAAGAATTCTACTCTTGCTCAGTAGTCCACTGTTGAAATCCATCTCTCTCCAGCTTAGAGATAAGGATGTGAGGTGGGACCATGTCAAAGGCCTTGCAGAAGTCCAGATAGATGACATCAGTTGCTCTTCCACTCCATTGTAGAAGGCTTCCAGACTGGCAATTGGTGATGCCATGTTGGCTATCTTGAGTCACCTCCTCATCTCTTATGTGCCTTGACATCTTTTCCATCTGCTCCATGGAGGATCTGGCCTGTGATCTTCCCAAGCACAGACATGAGTCTCACTGGCCTGTAGCTCCTCAGGTCTTCCTTTCTACCCTTCTTAAAAATAGCAGTGATGTTTCCCTTTTTCCAGTCATCGGGGTCTTTGCCTGACAGCCATGACTTTTCAAATGTGATGTATTTTTATCTTGTGATTAGGCTCTCTGGCGTTTCTCTGCTCTCCTTGTTACATAAAATAGAGCTCCCTTGTTTTCTGCTTACATACAAATCAGCACAACAAATCTGCTCTCCAGTAGAATCTCTTCTGCTGCAGAATTGCTTTGTAAAGTACAGCATTTTTGTAATAGTAATAAAAATGCAAATACATTTCACCCCGTTGGAGTTCCAGACTGTAACGGTTTACACTCACCAAAAAATATACAGTGATAAATTCAGGGTAAGGCCTTGGTGTATACTGCATAAGCTCATTTGTTGAAGTAACCAGCGATCAGAACTAGCACATTCCACGTTCACCAAGCCACTGCTGAATAGTGTTTTTTCAGGTTACCTTTACACTATGTAATTTGCAAACAAACAACGTGAAAGTTGAAGGGGAAACATGAACAGTCTCTACTGTTGATCTTGCACTAACACAGGGACCAGCACTGTATTACTGGCTGAGAGAGAGCGAGATAAATCTCCCAATGGCTTTAAGAACTGGGATTTCATGTCTGTGCACACATGGGGAGAGAATCCAACAGGCACTTGGGTGTTAAGAATTACTGATGTGGTAAGTATGTCTGCATGCCAACCGGCTGTTTGAAAGTTAACTCATCGCTAACCCTATCACAACCACTATCAAATGTGTTGAATACTGAGTATGCATTAAGCAAGCTACAACAAGAGTTTATTTAAACTAAGTAACCATTGGATTAAAGATTAAAGGCTCATCTGAGGCAGAAAAAGACAGACAGATTTTCTTGTTCTTACATGAATGCAATGCACTGTACTCATTTCATTGACATGTACCTGTCAAAAGACATTTCATGCCTATGTTTTTCTCACATTGTATGTCACTGAAAGAGATCAGTTCTTCATGTAATTTTCTGTGATTCATGGTGTGAAGTATGTAATCAAATTTGCATATGATTAACTGCAAATTAGTTCTTTTCTGCAGAAAAGCACACAGGATATACCTAGTCTCTTCTTGGTACATGGGCATAATTGTCATTAACTCAAAACCTTCTGAGTTAATGAATTTCTGATGACCTTGGGGAACTATTCTGTTATATATCTTCCCCTAACCTCTTTCTCAAGAGTAATGACTGCTGAAAAACCTGTAATGACTAAAGCCAAGAAATCTGCAGATATAAAATAAGTAAGTTTATTAAAATCAGAAGAGTGCTGTTTGATAGGCAGGTGAAAAAATCATTCTTTTCAAAGAATAAGAGCTCACTCATCTCTGGAGAATTTCATTGAAACTGTCTGTTAATCAGCTTGTCATTAGGGATCAGATCATGCAAGAAACTGAATGCTTCCTATCAGACACTGAGTCTCCAACCGTTATTGGCCTCGAATTGTAAACATGGCTTTAATACTGAACAGGTGGACAAGGCAGTAGAAGTAAATATTATTGACAACTGTATAGTGGTAATACTGTGTGGGCTTATGGATAATCCTATGGCTACAGATATCTTGCTCTTTGTAACTAAAATGATGCTTTTTTTTTTTTTTAGAAAAAAAAACAAAAAGGGTATTTTGGTTTTGATTCTCTCTCATTTTCCAATTGCAGTAAGTTCTTAAAACCTACAGTATGGCAAACTTTTGTCTGCAAGAAATAATGTACTATTCCTCAGTGTTTAGAGTTTTTTGGTTCCAGAAAGAAGTTTACCATTAATGACTAATTGGAATAACAGACCACCATGCAGGGTTACTGATAATTGAGTTGTCATATAACTTTCATATGTAACTTTGGTATAAATTTTCTATAGTAAAGAAGGTTCTCTTCAGCCACTAGGTAAAGAAGCAAAAAATCTGAAAGAAGCTTTGGAAAAATAAAATTTCACTGTTTTCTGTACTTGTCTCTTCCACTTTCTACTTTTTAAAGATCAGTGTCAAAACTAATGTACAAAGCATTTGTTTCTTGCTTCCACAAGCTGTGATTCAGAATGCTGTTGTACATCACAACAGAATGTTATTCCAAACATTTTATAGGTAACTTTTTAAAGAAAATTGTCATTTGATGGCTTAGTGAACTAACATTAATAATACGAAATACTACTTCAGTAATTTTAGTATTGTTATGAAACTCCATTGATGCTTATAAGGCTAATTAATAATTATGTTTTGTTGACATGTTGCTAGTCAAGCCATTGTACTAAATCCCACCTTCTGGTAAGTTCTGTCCTTAATGTGTCAGTCTGTTGGGGCTTACAAATCATGGTCTAAATTTATATACTGATGGAGTCCTTTTTTATTTTAGTGAATTCTCACTTATTTATGATCAAATATCCTCTGTTTATTCCTCTTACATTCTGAGAACCTATGCTAATGCTGTCTTGTCCTTTAGTCCAAAAGAATACAAAATGAAGGAAGGATTGTAAATTGGAAATTGATTTTGCATGGCACTGATACCCAGCCTGAACATATGAAACAACCACGTGTATACACGTCTTACAATGCTGTGCAAAATGACAGAAGAGGAGTGGAGAAGATGACAGACCTTGTAGAGGTAGTGTCTCATTAATCATTTTCTTAACGTATTTTCAAATTTGTAAGAAAATTAAGTTTTTTTTTTTTTCTTTTTCCTTTTTTGTAGTGATAAGACACTAGTGATAATACACATTTTGCATTTATTTTCTCTAGCTCCAGAACACTTTTGAGTTGTGCAAGTATTGTAATTTTGTCAACATATCAACAATTGATATTTTCATTAGTCTCAAATACTACAATACCTTACAGTTTTAGTATTGAAAGGGGATGCTGATACTAAAGCTTTGAACTCAACAGCTTATGCAGTTGAATGGTACAGGAGGGAGGAATGCATAGTAAATTTTTGTAATTCTAGTTAAAGTTAATATTGAATCTGAAAAGAATCTGCTGATATGTTTTTAGGGAGTTTTGAAGCAGGTTTGTTACATAATACATCACAAAAGCTAGAACACTTCAGACAGTTCAATTAAGGAGCTGCAATCTCCTTTTTCACCTCTTCGTAATTTTGAGGCATAGTTCATTTCATAGAAAATGAATGTATTTGAGGCTTCTTAGAATAGCAGTAGTTTTCTGGATGCAAGTATTCACAGTGTTCTGGAAGTAGTGCCTTCTGTTATTTCAGAACAAATGATAACAAATACAAAGACTACAATAACATTGTTTGATGGACCACCTTCTCAGCTACAAAACACTATTTTTCACCACAGTCATCACCATTAGCTGTGCATTTTTGCCAGTCATGAACAAGAGCCTGCATGCCATGCTCATAAAATCTGCATCAGCAGAAGTAAACCCCTGTTTCACAGCTGCTATGACAGCACTGTTGCTAAGAATATGTTGCTAAGAATATGTGCCCACACAGTTGATCTTTCATCAGCCTAAAGTGTAAGTCAGAAGTCACTGGATCAAGACTGTACTTGGGTGGGTGTGGTACAACACTTCAACCAAGCCTGGAAACATGCTCCACAGTCTTCAAACTGCTATAGGGCCTGAAGTTACTGTGTTGCAGGAGAAAGGTAATCTTCTTCTCTGGCCTGACTCAGGAAGTTAGAGCTTTTCGCTAAGTCAGTGTCATGGTGTAGCAGTCAAAATTGATGGTTTGTCTGGGTTTCAGGAATCCAGAAGGATCACTGCTTTCTTGTCTGTCCCAGAAAAACATCACTTCATGTGCTGAGCGCTGCATCTTTAACTTTTTCTTCAATGATGTTTTCTCTCCATGCATTGTCATTTTGACATAGTAGTGGTGACACCATGTCTTGTCTCAGGTAATGATGTGATGCAGGAAAATGTCACCTTAAACATCATATTGATTCAGTAAGTCCTGACCAACCTGTGTACAGTGTTCTTTCTGCTCCTGTGTGAGCATTTGTGTCACCCAATTGGTGCAAATTTTGCATTATTCCAATGTTGCCACTGGCAATGAAGCCAGTATTCAGCTCTTTACATAGTTCTCTGGTTGTAATCCTCCAATTTGTGCAGATGAACTGATCAAAATACTGTTCATTTTGTGGTGTGAGAGCTGTTCATGGCCACCCAGAACATGGCTATTCTTTCACGTTGCTGTCACTATTGCTGAAATGTATGACTTGTCTACTCCCTTTGATCACATCCACTGTTTGGTCTCCATCATTGTTCAGCAAGCATCAGTGATTGTCAGTGGGTACTATTTTTCCCATGGAGGAATTCAGTAACTCACCTTTACTTCATGTCTCTTCCACTTTAGCTGCCATTCTGTCAGACTGCCCCTTTGCTGCCATCTGTCACACAGCAACAACATGTGAAGGTATACTGGTTGGAAAGTCAGCCTCTATGACTGCACCTCTGTCTGTCTCTGATGTAGTGGGCCAACATCATAAAAGAGGAGGCATTATTTTTGAAGCAGCCCTTGTACTGTTGATTATATCAGTGTCTGCAGAATACTTAATTACATCCCATCTATTCATCTCCCCTTTAAGTAATTAGAACGTCCATAACGTATAAAGAGATTAACCTTCTTCAGTGAGGTTACAAAGAAGATTGAGGGAAACATGATTATGGACTTTAAAGGCATAAAATTAAGTGTCCATAGTGGCAGCCACATGCAGTAAAATAAAATTGAAGAAAAAATAAAACTGGATTCAGGTGGTGTTGTAGAAGAAACTTGGTGGAAACATGTATAAAAATCAGCTCAAGATGAAGTGAATGTTCCAATAGAAAGACATCATGCAGGCTCATTCTACAGCATTTGAGCCATAACAGTGTTCAAATGAGGCTGTGCATGACTGATTTCTCTGTACATCTGTACTTGGCACTAGCCTTCCAAAGTTTACCGAGTTACCTGTCATGGCCACAGATAAGCCAAAGTTCACTGTCTTCCCAGGCAAGAGCAACTGTGGAGCAGATAACATGGAAACATTAGTTCAGTCCTTTCCACAAAGGGTATATGGCACATCTGGAGTTGCCATCACCACAATGTGTGTACTTCCTCCAGATGGATAGCCATGAAACTGTCTTTCATAGCACCGTTAGGAGTATTTTGAGACTGAGACAAATGTCGCTGTAAAATTAGAAATTGCATCCTTCCACTGTGGGATCTCCATAACTTGTGGAGAGATTTGATTCTTTATGCAGTAAAGTCCTTTTGAAGTCCTTTTTGACATGTAGTGATTTAGTTCTTTTTTAGATGTTAGTGGCTCCTAACTGAAAAAAATAGCATCTACAAACATGTACATGAAAATTACTAATCAGAGCAACTCTTATTCCAGTGATGCCTAATCTCCTTTATGCCAATCTGCATTCCAGGATCGTACCACACAGGAAAATTTGAGTGCAAAAAACAAAGGAACACAAGATATCGGTAGCACCAGGATCAAAGCAGAAGATAAGTTGCCATCAGAGGCTATGCTGCATTTACTGCGAAGTGCTTTTAGCAGACAGATGGCTCAGAAGCGACTGCCGAAGAAGACTGCAAGTGAGAAGTTAAGCATTCCATATGAGCACTTCTATCAAGCCCTCGAAAAATTAAACAAGCCCTCCCAGTTAAAAGACTCAGAAGAAAGTCTGTACAGTGACTATGTTGATCTTTTTTACAATGCCAAACCATACAAGCATAGAGATGACAGACTGCTGCAAGCCTTGGTTGATATTATAAATGAAGGAAACTAAACTATAGGATATGACACTGAGTTGGAAATATTCATTCTCCCACCCCACCTCCATTTTTTTTGGGTTTTTCTTCAGAACTCTATTGTATGCTCTAGTTGTGTGATTGCTGCTTTGCTTCATATTTAACACAAACTTCAAGGAAGAAAAAATGAATGTGGGATGATAAGGCAGTAAGCTGATGCTTTTTAGTAATAGTTTTTTTCAAAGACTTTCTTCATTACCATCAGAGTAGATTTGCCCCCTCAGGCGTGAAATGCAGCAGTATTCCCTTGAAAATACTAATGCTCTATTTTAAACATTTTCACATTATTTATTCTTCTACCCTACTCCCTTAGCCTGCAGTAGGATTCAAAATCTGAATTGCCAAGCAGTTTTGAACACAACAGCTGAAGCTATGGGGAGATACTCTCATCTCTGTGTTTGTAATGAGTAGAGCAGTCTTATATTTGGCATTTACTGAAGATTTAACACCTGCAGCAAGTACCTCTTCCCTCATAGTATTTTATTTTATTTTTTTCTGAACAACAATGCACTCTTACCCTTCTGTTCTCATGTAAAGGAGCAGTTGGGAAACTGGAATTGAATTGGAGCATCACTAAGTTATTAATGTTTTAGACTAGAGACAGTCATATTCTAACATAAAAGAGCTCCAAACAAAGCATTCCAGACCATGGGGATTCTCACCACCTAACTTAAACTGCCTAAATGAAGTGCCTGAATTATGAGCTTAGTTTTTCTAGGCTGTATGTAGCTAATGAAGACAGATAGCACTTAAAAGCACTTGACCAGTTTTTGCGCTGGTTCAGAATTACATAATGTGGAGTACCTATCTATTTTTATTGACTATGTGAACTTTGAAGAACCAACCTCCTGCCTTTGGAGCCTCTGTCAGATTTCTAGAGTTAAGTGATATAAATGCATTCTGAGATGTCCACGTCCGCAGCAGCCAGGACAACAAAGCTGGGATTGTTTTGTCCCATCCTTAACCTATGACTGCATCTTCAAGTGTCTGGTGAATTGTAACACCTCCCAAGTATCTAGGAAGTCAAGGCAAAATTAATGGAGGGAGGTGTAATATAAAAAAAAATACCCAGAAGGGAGTCATAAATAGAGGGAAGGACAGAATAGGATGTGGAAGAGGGAGAGGAAAGGAAGAAGAATACGAGGGAGTGATGGATGGGGAACAAAGTAGTATCAGCAGCAAGGACAGGCTGCTGCTTACCTGCAGCAGTGATAGGAAAATAAGAATGAAAAGATAAAAGGAAAGTTCATAGTGGTGAGGCTCTTCTGGAGTATAATTACAAGTAGTGAAGGGAGAAGTGGACTGGTCAGAAAGATCTATCACCCTATCTAAAGTGGAAAAAATTATATGTGCTGTCATACACAGTAGAGTGGTATGAATGGCAGCATGCTAGACAAGTAGTTTTCTGCATATACTTCTTTAAAATAAGATTAAAGATTGAAATAATATTTTGTTGTTCGTAATTTAAAACAAAACAAAACAAAAAAACAAAGAAACAAGCAAAAACCAAAAAAAACACCAACAAACAATGCAGTGCTGGATGCTCTGAAATTGGGCATGATCTAGTACAAGGAAATGAAAGCTCCTAGTGTCTAGTTGCAGTGCTAAACATAATCCAAACAAGTGCTGACTAGGTTTTACTTTTTTCTCTCTGTCATCTGCTGTAGAAGCATAGACTGGAAATATTTTCCAAATATTCTAGAAAAATGTGTTCCTCCTTTGTTGTCTATTTCTTGAAATGATCCAAGTGTCTCTAAAAGAGGAGTTTAACATTGTGTTCATATTTCATCTGTTTGGATAGAGATTTTTCAAATTTCACATTAAATTCTGTAATCACTGCTTAAAGGTAACTTCAAAAATTATCTTACCGAACTTAAGATTTAAAAACCTTTGCTTTGATTTTAGTGGTTTGATGTCTACCTGTGGCTCAGTCTGTGTTTTTGCTAGCTTTAGATAGACGTAGAGTAGTTGATTTGAAGAATTATTCCATATTTCTGTCCATACTTCAGAGATAACAATTACAAGAGTAAATGTATCTTACACTTAAATTGTTTACTCTCTACTAAGGCATTTAAATGGAATGAGAAGTAAACAAAAAAAAGCTAATTGTTTGCAATAAGAGAGCTTTTTTATGTTGTCCCTTTAATACACAAGCTTTTGGGTGATACATAACTACTGAACAAGCAGAATGTTAAAGTTTCTAATTGCTGCTACTGTAGGAGTTAGTGAGAGCACTAACTTGTATCTATTAACATTTAATTGTCAGAATTGGGAGTGTAATCTTTACCATTATAATCCCATTTGGTGATAATGGACCACTGTTAGGCCTGCGCAGAGGCTGTCAGATAACAGTGATTTTAACCAGTCGTCAGTCAAGTATGTTAAAGTGAGGAAAGTACTACAAACACTCAAATCAGCTTTCAGAAAACATGTTTTCAGATTTAAACGGGTGGAAAACATAGGACTCTCCTTTGTTTTGAGATGTTTCCTATGTTGTAGCCAAAGTTTTTTCAGAGGACAACTTTGAAGTCTCTCTTTTGAATGTTTCCAACCCAGAGAAGGTTGTACAGGAGTAACTTATTTTATTGTTAGTCTTTCCTTGGTGCCTGTGTGGGTTTTGTGAAAAATGTTGAAGGAAAAAAATGTTTTCTCTCAGAATTTTAAATTATATTTTCTTTACAGGCATTTATATTGTAGCAAAGATTTTATTGAACAGACAGAATTTTAAAAGGCATAATAAATTATATTGGAGAACCAGATTTTTCTTGGGGAAGAGACAATTTCATCCAATAAAGGTATTTTTTAAAAGGCATGTTCCAACAGCAACTGCAATATGTATGTGATGTGATGTTAAAAGTTGTCTAATAGCATAATACAGTGTGTTAGCAGAGATCAGAGTGTGTGGTCTTAACATTTGTAAAGAAAACAAAGAGGTCATGTCAAACCACTGACTTAAAATGACAAGGAAATATAGCTCAGAATTGAAAGCATTGGCATTAGAAAGTAATAATGGGTTGGGTGCAGAAAGCGTGTCCTTACTTGAGTAAGAAGAACTGCAGAGAATTTCTCCACAAGGAGAAACACTGCATCTTTCACGACTGCAATGGAGTAAGGATTGCTGCTTGACAGCAGCGGCAGCAGTGCTCATTGATGTGTGCCAAAAAGACAAAATTCTGCATGTTTCACATACAGATGTGTCACAAGCACTACAATGAAATAGTACAGAAGAATCAGTCATGGAGTCACATTCACATCTTTTTCTTGCATAAGAGCCTCAACAGTTACACGTGTCCTTTTTTCTCCACCACACACATTTCAACACAGTAAGAAAAAAGCCTTTAACGTACTATCAATCATATATGGAAGCACTAGAGTTGCTCTTCTGAGGATGATACTTGCTGGCCCGCACTGAGCTCTGTGCTGATGCCCAGAGAGGTGCAGCTGTCTCCACCAAAGACCCTTATGTGAGGACACTGTGCTGGGGCAACGTTTCTCTGCATGGAGAGGAATGAGTTTTGGCTTCTGAAAGCATTACCAGTCATTCTCACCTTGGGTTTGTTCCCAGGGTCTTGCTTAGCTATAGCTTGCAGAGCAAATTGTGCTTCATCAAATGCTTCCTATGTTGTCAAAATACTTCCTGTGCTTTCAGTAACTTAACTCTTCCACAGCAAAAATCTTTTTGAAGTAAATATGTGCAGAAAATACATTTCCAAAGCAGCATAAATGAAATAAATTTAAAGTCTACATTCAAGCCATATTAACTAATTTCCACACTAAACAATGGGTTTTCTCTCAAAAATATGGCATGATTTTTAAAAGTCATGTTGCATTTAAGCTTTCTAGCATTAGTTGTTTTGAGTTACCAAAGCAGAATTTCTGTTCAGACTGATGTAGACCTAACCTCAGAAAATGAGGTGTTGGAAAATGTGTCCTCTTACTTCTCCTAAAGTCATTTGAAGACGATCATAAGCACCTTCAGTGTAAAGAACATGTTACTGGCTTTGGAATTTCGTTAGTATTAGAATTTAGGAGTGAATGTAATCTCTTTATAAAAAAGCATCTGTATACTGCTTATAAACTAATACATATCTTGTGCACAGATCACACCCTGCCAGAGTGACAGCCATGCTTACATCCTTGTATATCACAGTAGTGCTGTATTTTAAATGCTTCCTGCAAAAGCAAACCAACTGCTACCTTTGCACGTTTTCAGATGTTACAAATACAAGGCAAGTCAGTTACTCCAATTCTGAAAATTCAAAACTTAGAGGAAAAAAACCTTTCAGCTTCTAATTATGCAACAGCACTTCTGTGCTCATGCAGTTACACAGAATATCTACACAACCTGAAACTGTTGTGTTTGATCACATCCTTTTTTTTTTTTTTTTCCACAAAGTCTGTGTCCAAAACTCCCACTGTATCAGCATTTCAGAAAGGCACATCTCTAAATCCAAAAAATGGATTTTTTCCCTGAATCAGTTTCTAAGCAAACAAATATTTCTGACTGCAGACTGAAAAGGTTCAAACTCCAACCCTAACAGACATTGCTAGAAATCATTTCAGTAAACACTTCTATGGTTAATGACACGAGTACTCATTAAAAATATTGCTTTTCTTATTGCAATTTATGAGGATAGTGTAACCAGAAAGGAGAAATTTTACATCCAACAATGCAGTAAATGCACACTGGAAAATAATGTCAAATGCGTTCCAAGTTACACCAAGATACCAGAAAAACAAAACAAAACAAAACAAATAATACTTAAATATGGGTAGTTATCAGGAAAAAAATATCTTAACGGTTTTATAATTTCGGCTAATTGCCTACATCCAATCAAATCTAGCTGGGCTATGGCTGTATTTCTGATGTCATATTCTTCCCCCAAAACAAGTGAATTGCTTGCTATTCCCCATACCATTTTGTTTGACTGTGCCTGTGTTATCAGTCAGTGCTTCAAATCATAAACATACGGCATAATGCAGTGCCATATATTCTGATAAGGAAATGAACTTGGAACTAAGAAAGTGCAGTTTTGCATATGCCAGTCCATGAAGTGCTGATGTGAAATGGACCTATAAAGGTTAGACAAAGAGCAAAGCCATATGTCAACTCCATTAGCTGCAGTGAATTAGTCCTACATTGAAGAATAGCGATAGTGCAATGCAGAGCAGCGCAAACATCCAGAAAGTAAAGGCAACACTCAGCACCAGGGTTCAATAAGCAACTCAGCTACCTGTGTGCAGTTGTGTGTTTGTAGGAGACATTAAAAAAGATACATCTAGGAAAAACCCACAGCTTTTCCTCTTTTACCCAGTATTTCAATTACTCTGCCTTAGAGCAATTTCACCATGAGGCTTGTCCAAAAATACTAGTAAATACTGAAAACATTGTTTAACCAGTAACTATATCAGACTTTATGAAACCAATTAAAAAAGAAAAATTACATACATGTTCTACATGATTCTGTCTAAGCGCTTCTTAAAGGCAGTGTCAT